ATTATTTTATGTAGTGTTAACAGTCGAAATTTGCCGCCCCTAAAAATTTGCCGCCCTAGGCAGCTGCCTATGTTGCCTATACGGTAAATCCGCCACTGAGCGCTTGCATTCTATATTGATGTAGGCCACACAAAGCATACATACAAACTAACCAGATGTTCTGCAAAAGAAAGGAACGCAAATATTTACCCAAGTTATCAAAAGCTGCATTCAGCAAAGATTTTATGTTACCCAAAAAATCTAAAATTTACGGATTGTTCTGCTGAAACGACACTGCAAAGCTTAGTCGACCATACGATAAGCCGTATTATAAAATCGTACCCGCAAGGCTTTGAAGAGCAGAAATTATTAAATGATAACAATACCATTTTAACTGCCATATATAAATGGGGATGCGATGGCAGCAGTGGTCACTCAACTTATCGTCAAAAGTTTAATGATAGTGAACTGAGTATGGTCGATCAGCACCTATTTTCTGTCTGTCTTGTTCCTTTGCAAGTGCAGCTTGGAGTTAAAATTTTGTCGAAGAACGATAGACCTTCATCAACTCGATATTGTCAGCCCATTAAGCTAATTTGCCAAAAGGAATCGACTGAATTAATTATTTCTGAGACTGAAAATATAAATAGTCAAATATTAGCAATTAAACCAACAATAACCGATTCGTATACAATTTTCCATAAATTTAACATGACCATGTTGGATGGAAAAACATTTAGTGTCCTTGCAGAAGCCTCTTCGCAAATATGTGGACTTTGTCGAGCAGCACCAAAAAATATGAATAATTTAGATTTGGTGAAAAGTTATGAAGTTGATGCCGACTTATTTAAATATGGGCTGTCAACCCTTCATGCCTGGATACGATTTTTCGAATGTGTTTCACACATTTCTTACCGACTTCAATTAAAAAATGGCAAGTTCGCGGTAATGATAAGCCGGTTGTACAGGCACGAAAATCTGAAATTCATGTGCAACTTAGAGAGGAAATGGGCTTATTGGTAGATATACCTATTGCTCATAGTAGAAATACAAACAATGGTAATACTGCGAGACGGTTTTTCAAAGAACCAGAATTGGTATCAAGAATTACCGGAGTCAGAAAAGAGCTTATATATAAGTTCAGTGTAATTCTTCGTGTACTGGCCAGTGGACATAATATCGATTAGAAGACATTTCGCTCATACATGCTATGGAAACGGCCGAAATGTTTATTGAATTATACCCATGGTATTACATGCCCGCGTCCATTCACAAAATATTAATCCATGGTGCAGACGTCATAAACCATGTAAGTCTGCCTATTGGATTAATGTCTGAAGAGGCACTCGAAGCCAGGAATAAAGATTTAAGGAGAATACGACTGAACCACTCTAGGAAAGACAAAAGAGTTAATACGATGCAAGATGTTATGAATGGGTTAATTATTTCATCAGATCCATTAATAACATCCTTATCTAAGCCATCACAGTTATCCAAAAAGCCCGTCAATTTAGATGAGGATGTTGTCAAGCTGCTTGCTTTTCCTAACAATTCATTGGTCGACTCCGACACATCGGATTCTGAATAGCCCTAATATATATTTTTATAATTTTTTAAAATTATTTTTATTATTTTCATATAATTGTTTATTGAATTTAAAATGTTTAAAAATATATTTTTTGAAAGACTATAAAGTTACAAAATTCACTATATTTATACCCTTGCAGAGCAAAGGATATTATAATTTCAGTCAGAAGTTTGCAACGCAGTGAAGGAGACACCTCAAACCCTATAAAGTATATACAGTAGAATCCGGTTATAACGACTTCCAAGGGACCGACCATTTTTCGTCGTTATAACCGGAAGACGCACTAAGCAAAAGGAGGAACTTTTTTTTTTTTTTGATTATTTTATGGTTGCTGTGTTTGTTATAGGTTTTTAAAATAAATCAAATTAATTTTTTAATTAAAACGAAAAATTTAATAAATTAAATTCAAAAACATAGGTTTTTCTAAATACTGAAAACTGAATGAGCTTATTATTGCACATATTGCATTTGGCAAATTAAAACATTCAGTTTTACTCGGAAAAAAGCAGAAAAAACTAGAAATATAACGGGACATCTCATGGAATTGACTATGAGGTCTGCACCACAGTGTTGCCAGATTTTGAGAGATAAAATAAGCTAGATTGAAGAAAAAAATAAGCTAGAATAAGCTAAAAATTAAAAAAAAAAGCTTAAAATAAGCTAACCATGGAAAACATTAAAACAGTTGATTTTTTACTTTTAATAATACGATATTTATATAACTATTAAATTAAAGAAATAATTTTATCAACTTCCTCATTAGATTCATTATATTTTGCCGAAGATTGTATTAAAGCGAGGTATTTCGTTGGCAGTTGGTACTCATGGCAACATTTTCCATGACGTCGCAGTCCATATCTATAACATTAAAACAAAAATACTTTGTATATTTTAAATAATTTAAAATTTCAAAAACAAACCTTATTCTTAAAATTGCGTTTAAGCTTTTTAAAGACATTTTGTTGCGCATTTTTGATTTAACAATGTTCATACTCAAATAACTTGGCCCCAATCGACACCTTACAAAAGCAGCAGTACGCTTTTGTCGAGACAGTTGGCACTTTGCGTAGCCACTGCTTAAATTCTTCGAAATTTAACCACAAATCGCGGAAATTCTGTTTGTAAGTCACTTTCGGCATGTTTCTAAAACGACGCAACAACAATCGCAAATCAAACATGTGCAAAATTTCAGTGTGACCGAGACTTGCTAACGATTATTATTAAAATACCAACAACAAAATATGCTTTTGTCCAAATTATCGATAAAAATTACCAAAAATTATAATACAATTTTTTTAAGCCAAAATTAGCTAAATTAAATTGGAAATAAGCCAGATTTTAAGCTATATGCATTTCAAGTATTTTTCAAGCTATTTCATTTTAAAATATGCTAAATCTAGCTTAAAATAAGCTAAAATGGCAACAATGCTGCACCATGGTATAATAAGTACAAGGTAGTCTCGTCGGCTTTTTTTTCCCCCTATTGGTCACTACAATGAGTGCGAGTGAGAGGGTGTTTTCCCGTAAGTGCGAAAGAAACAGAAGAAGATGATGTCGTAAAAACCTTATGCTGTGCACGGGGTTTAAAAAGGACTGTTATATGACAATGAGTATTAATTGTTCCGTAATTTTTGGTTTTTACCCAAAGCTGCCCTTTAGGACTCGCTCCCATATTGTTCACATTTCAAAATATTTTTCTGCAATATTACATGTTACGCCTTGTATGTGCTTGCTGCAATAGTTGCAACAAGTATTTTTCATAAGCAAACAAGGGTTAACGTTTTGAGAAAAAATCGTCCGCGGACAACCCCTCACTTCGAAATCCCGAGCGCACTGAACCATAGGGGGAAAAAACCCGAGCGATTTTGCAGCCGACGAGACTACCTTGTATAATTCTACCATGGTCTGCACACACAGTGTGACGTCGGCATTGCACTTCGACTCTCTCTCTCTCGCAGCAGCGTTGTTAAGACGACAGCTAAAACTAACAGAGAGTTGTGCCAGTGCAAGATCCTTCGTGTCGCTGCTACGCATACAAGCAAGGGTGCCGATCACTGACAAATACATACATTTCTAACAGCGTGTTTTGATGCTTAAATTTTGAACTATGGCACTGTATTTTTTCCGGCACTATATCCGGCGCAATATCCGGTTAAATTTTCCAATTTTCCTGAAAAATTTCATTCTTATAAGCGGTTTGTCGCTTAAAGCGGAAACGCTTTAAGCGGAGGCCCTTTCATATAACTTTGTATGGGGACCAACCAAACCATCGAGTTTTCGTCGCACAACCCGGACGGACACTATAAGCGGAGTCGTTATAACAGGATTCTACTGTATATTCTTTATCAGCATCACGATCTGAATCGAAATCCGTCTGTACGTCGGTCCGTCTGTTTTCTAACTACTATTGAATTTCGGTTTAAATTTTATCAAAATCGGATAACTCTATCATATAGCTACCATAGGAGAGATCAAAAAGAAATATATAGAATTAAAGGAAATTAATTGATAACGTCATTGTTTTTCATCACACGACTATGATTTTTTGGGTATCAAGTTTTTTAACTAGCCTTGATTTATAAAAAAAAATTCATAAAAATCGGACAACTATATCATATAGCTGCCATAGGAAAGATCGAAAAATCTATATAGAATTAATGGAAATAAAATGATAACATCGTTATTTCTCTTCAGAAAACCACGATTTTTGAATATTGAGTTTTCTAACGACTCTTGAATAACAAATTAAATTTTATCAAAATCAGACGACTATATCATATAGCTGCCATATGAACAATAGTCAAAAATATGGAAAATGAATAGAAAAGTCGTCGTAGCTTCGATAATGTTTGGCCTTTGTGTATTCTGTTCGAAGTATTTGATGACTGCAAGGGTATATAAGCTTCGGCTTGCCGAAGCTAGCTTCCTTTCTTGTTTTTATATGAATCGTATGAGATTTACTTGGGGTAACACATTAATATTTTCAGAATATGTCAAGAATACATTAAGGATATTAAGTTAAAATTTTCAATAAAATATAAATTCATTTACCCGAGTTATTATTAAAATTCCGCTAGCAGAGGCACTTGGCCCACTGTGCGTCTGTCCGTCTGTCTGTTTCTATGTAAACTAGTCTCTCAGTTTTGAAGCTATTGTGCTGAAACTTTCCCAAAAGTTGTGTAGTTATTGCACGCAGTATATAAGTCGGAACGAGCCGGATCGGCCGACTATATCGAATAGCTCCCATACGAGAGATTGAAAAAAAATTCTCACTGCGTTGTTTTTGATCAGATCGACTTGATTTCTTCCAGATGGTGTTTATTTACTACGGTCGAATTTCGGATTAAGTTTTATCAAATCCTCTTGTTGTTTCTTTAAACGCCCTTCCCCTAAAAAAAAGTCAGAGAGTTGGATGCTTAAGGCGAAAGCTCACCTGATGTAAACGTTATTTCGCTGACCATCATCCAGCGGGCAGCGAAGTACAAATGCAACTGAAGAAAGCGACCCAGACGATGGTGCAATTTGATTGTCACGTCCCGGGCGTGATCCAGAACATGGTCGGGCATGTAGGAAAACTGCACCGGTTCCGCAGCGAACTGGCGTCCATCGATGCTAAAGAAAACTTTGGCGTGGACGAACACCTGCAACCAAAAAGTCGGGAATAAGTGACTGTGTCAAAGCCCCAGTTCAGCAAACAAAGATATTAACAAAGGTTTCGCCATCGGAGGTTATGTTAGTAAGTCGCCAATAGATCCGCTATATCCAATAGTTTGCGCTTGTTTATGTTTGGCACCTAATTTAAACTTAAATTATTCCTCATTTCTACATCACCTGAGAGAATAACCAAAGAGTCACAACCGAAAAAATTCCCACCAAAAAAATATAATTTGGACAGTCCTGATGGACGCAATTATTATTATCGCGATCTTCAAAGGGAATAACATTTCCTGAGACGACGCATTAGCTACAAGAGAGGCCTAATGGTGTGTTAGTCGGTATTAATCTTTGGCATTTGCGACTTTCAATTTTTTATGCCCTTGCAGAGCAAAAGGATATTATAATTTCAGTCAGAAGTAGACAATGCAGTGAAGGAGACAGCTCAGACCCCAAAAAGCATATAAATTCTTTATCAGCATCACGATCTATATCGATAGGTCTGTACGTCTGTCCCTTTGTCCGTCTGTCCGTTTCTTTTTAAACTAGGCCCTCCTTTTCTATGTAAACTAGTCTCTCAGTTTTAAAGCTATCTTGCTGAAACTTTACCAAAAGTTGTGTACTTATTGCACGCAGAAAAAAAGTCGAAACAGGCTGGGTCGTGCGACTATATCTGATAGCTTCCGTATGAGAGAAGGAGAAAAAAACCTCACGACGTTGGTCTTGATCATATCGACTTGATTTCTTTCAGGTGGTGTTTTTTCCTTTCTCGCGAACCGAGCCGTACGATACACGGCAGCGCCCCTCGGTCGGTTGGGCGGAACGTTGTGGCCGTGGGATACGCGCGAAAAAAAAGATCTTCTGATATGTCGGCATATACCCGCCCGAAATTTCTAACTGCAACAGGGCACCACACAGCTTAGGCTGGGGAAAAGACACAAATTATCCGGAGCGACAGGTGTTTATCTTATGGCCTATTTTGAAGCAATACAAATCCCGTGATGCTTGACCTGGGCCACTGCTTGGTAGCATTTCTGTCTTGGAATGAGAATCTGAATATGCTTTCTAGAAACGTCTTCTAGAACTTCTTTGAAGTATCGTGTATTGTGATATGTAATATTTAAAGTTATGGTAGGGTGCCCCGAGTATCATATACCCGTCACTCAGTTATGGAGCCGAAAGTATGGTGCCTGAATTAGTATCTGCATTGGCTTAGTTGGATAATTGGCTTAGGTGTCCCTAAAGCCCTAAAGGTTGTGGGCGTAAAAGTGATCAAAAATGGTCAAAACACTATTCGCTGTATTTTTGTGAGTGGGACTTAAATATAATATCCAATGCTGTTGTATAAGAACACAATTGGATATTCAATGTTTTTTCGGAAGATAATTACCTGAACATCCTTGCTGAACATGTTGTTGGCATGTATGACAACAGCACTGAAATTCCGTACTGTCTCAAACTCAAATGTAATCTGCACAGGCTTACCAAGCAAAGTGTCATTTCGCCAACCAACCCACTCGTAGCCTGGAAAAAAAAATGGAACAAACTTGTATTCACGTATTTACCAAAACTTCTTAGCCAAAATGACGAAAAAATACGTATTGTGCTAAAACAACATAAATCGAAAAATAAAAATACATTGCCCCAATTTTATTTATCATGCTGCACACCTACACAAACTGTCTGTAACTTTTCATTTCTTTAACTTTAAACCCAATTTGTCAAGAAAAAACAAGAAAATCTTTCGAAGGTTGTTGGGATATGGGTGTTTCTGCCGAAAAATGCGTTTTTCAGAAAGACAACGACCCGAAGCACACGTCCATATTGGTGAAAAATTGGATTTCAAAACCGAAGTTTCATTCTATGAAACAATCTCCCGACATGAATCCAATAGAAAACCAGCTGGGCCATGTGAAATCGCAGCTGGCGAAGTATGCAGTTCCTCCAAGTGGAATGAAGGAGTTCTGGGAACGGACACAGGACGTATGGAATGCTATTCCCCCGAAAATGGTACAACGGTATACCCAAAGTATGCCCAATCGCATAGAAGAGCTGGAAAAGTCCAAGCGGATGTGGACTCATGATTAAAAAATCATTAATAAAAATATTTGTTAAAAAAATAACCAGAGTGCAAACTGTAACATTTGACTTTTTTTTACAGTTTGGCGTGTCATTTTCTTAAACTGATATCAAATGGCTTTTAATTTTACTAAATAGTTGTGAATCTCAAGAGAAAAGGTAATTATAATTCTTTGTTATAAATACGACGTAATTGTTATTTATCTATGTATGCAGGCGTAGATATCAACAAATCAGCCGAAAAAAGGCTCTGACGAAGAGAACAACGGACCAAAAAAATCCAGAGTTGGTAAATCTAAAGTATGGAAGTTTTTTTCTAGGTCAAATGATGGTAAGTCCGGCTAAGGGCGTATTTTGTCATAAGGTGTATAAAACAAGCGGGAACACATCGAATCTTTTCGACCACATGAAGCGTATTCATCCAACATTAAGCGCTGATGATTTGCCGTCGACTTCAAAGAAAATAGATTTTTTTGTTAGTACAATTTATGAATCGAATTCAACCAGAAAAGCTGAACTTGATAGGGCTGTCATGAAATACGTAGCCACAGACATGCGTCCGTTTTCAGTAGTGGCAGACACTGGCTTTCGCGAGATGCTGAATGTTTTTGATCCCCGCTACAAGTTACCCTGTCGAAAGACATTGCAAAATGTTATGACGGCAGAGCAATTCGAGGATAAACAAAGGAAACTAATGGCCATATAAAGAGAAATAGAATTTTGCGCTATTTCCACAGATCTATGCACATCGCAAGCTAATGAAGCCTATATTACTGTGACATGCACATTCGTCTCAAACGAATTTAAGCTGCAAACTGCCGTTTTGCCCACGAACAAATTGCTATCGGAAACAAATCACACAGCAGAAAATATTAAGGACAGTTTGCAAGCCGTTTTTGACAAGTGGGACATTTCTTCCAAAATTGTGGCAATAGTTACAGATAATGCGAGTTCGATGATAAAGGCGTGTGAATTGCTCCAAAAAAGAAATTTACCCTGTTTTGCTCATACCTTAAATTTAGTGGTGCAAGGCTGTCTCAAGCTAGACTGTTTGGTCCCTGTCCTAAATAAATGCAAAGCAACAGTCACATATTTTAAATCCAGTTCCATAGCATATAAAAAGCTAAAAGACTGCCAAGATGGGAACACGAAATATAGTCTGAAGCAGGAAGTTCCTATTCGATGGAACAGTGCTTACCATATCGACGCATTTCCGCGAATGTATCGTATATTGAAAAATCAAATTTTACAGGAGAAGCTTTTTCTTTTTTTTTGTATTTCTGAATTTTTGTGCGATTGCAGTATTTAAATGCAAATGAAAAAAAATTTGTATGGACATACGATAATTTCGCGCGCACATTGTAACATACGATAAAATTGAAACTTAATTTTTATCGGAACTATAGGGGTTTCAGTTATAATATTGCACAGGGTAGTGAGACATTCGGTGCCTAACAATTTTGCATTAAAATCTCAATTTCGAAAAAAGCGACATACGATACTTTCGCGGAAATGCGTCGATATGATAGAGAGGATTTTAAAAACCAATGAGGCTATCGGGAAAGTTTTGTTGAGTACATCAAAAGCACCACAACCGTTCACTGCAGACGAACTGGACATCCTAACGGACCTGTTACAGGTGCTTGCTCCATAAGATACTGCAACAAAGCAAGTATCTTCCAATTCTACAGTAACGGTTTCTTTATGTATTCCAATAACTTGTGGTCTTTAGCATTCAATGGACACTTTAAAGCCGAGCCTTAAGACTAGTGAGGGACTAGCAGCCTGCACATTTTTAATGGACAGCATTGTCACCAGGCTGACAAATTCTTAACCGCGAATTTCAACATTGCTAGACCCTAGATTTAAAAAACAAGGGTTTCGATCTCCGTTTAACGTTGTTCCAAAAAGTGGCAAAAAACCGATTTCGGAATTTCAAAAAAGTAGTTAGCTGTATTAAAAAGGGATATATTGAACTAGTATTTGTCAAAGTTTCAAAGCATTTGGTTACAAATTACAATTTTTACAAGGAATTTAAATAGAAAATATTGCTTGAAACTCAAATAAATGTACCTTGCCTTAAATACAAATAAATTTTTATTTCTATGTGATACAAAACTATTTATTATTTTTTTACAACTAATAATGTTACGGAAATCAAAAATAATAGTTTTTTTTCTTCAAAAAAGTCGAAAAAATATTTTTTTATTATTTTCAATACAAAGCTATACGATTTTCAATGTTTGCGACACTTCCAAATAGGCGTTTCCCTGCGTTCCCCTAGATATCAATATGTGAATCACTCGGAATTATTCCTTGAAATGTGCTGTTTTTGAAAAAGTTGCGCCTTTTTTGTTTTAAGAAAGAAATAAATAAAGCGCGCTACCACATTTATTGCAAGCTTGCGTATACACATTTGTGCAGGAATTTACATGCGCTGCAGCGTGCTGAATGCTTTCTGCAAGCAAACCAACTGGTGACGGTGTGGTGAAATCGAACTTTTTAAATCCGAATAGAGCGTTTATTATTGTTGTAAGCATGGATACCTTCACAAAAGGAGAAATTTTGCAAAAATTGAATGATTCGAAAAATGATATCGAACCAGTCTTTGAGTATATTTTAAAAAAGTTACATTTTGATCCAAATAGCTCATCTAAAGAAGCAATGAACCGCTTAAGAGTGTCTTTAAGAACTTTAATATCAAAATACAAAGGAAAGTTGGATAAAGCCAATAGAAAACACGATCGCATTTTATTGAAAAACGAAGACTGGATGAATTCTGTTTTTAATATTCAAACGTAATGTAAGTCGTGCGGGCCCTGGTCGTCCAAAAATAGAATTCAGTTCTAGACAGAATCGGTTTAAGAGATACGAAATTGCAAATTTGAGTGCAGAACACAACCATAATGCAGAAAAACTATTGATGGCTTGTAGGTAATTAAAAAATTAAAAAAAAAAAAATTAAATTTAAAAAATGCAAAAAAAAATTAAAAAATAAAAAAAAAATTTAAAAAAAAAATTAAAAAACCAAAACAAAAAAAAACGGGATGTTAAATCGGTTTGAGAGCCTTCTCGCGGCACATCCTGAGTGCTTTAGCAAAAGCAGCTAATCCTAAGCGTAATATATAATTATAAAACAAAATTATCACAAATCCTTTTTAAAAATATATAAATTGATATAAAAAAAATTAAAAATATTGATTAGAAGTAATTTAATAACAAGTTTCAATGAGAATTAATCAGTTTTTAGAAAAGTCATCATATTCAGTCCGCCATTTTGAGTCCGCCATTTTGAATTTTGAAAATCCAATTTCAGATTCGGAATCAGCGACCCCAAGAACATAAGATAACATACTAAAAGTTTTAAATCTATTGATAATTTGGGAATTATTAATTTTTGCCACTTTTTTCCAATCCTGGCCCACTGTGCACCGGCACAATCACCAGACCTTAACGTCATAGAAAACCTGTGGTCTATTTTAGATACGAATATCCGCAAAAGGCAGATATCGAACAAAAATGATCACCAGACCTTATAAAACAAAATTATCACAAATCCTTTTTAAAAATATATAAATTGATATAAAAAAAATTAAAAATATTGATTAGAAGTAATTTAATAACAAGTTTCAATGAGAATTAATCAGTTTTTAGAAAAGTCATCATATTCCGTCCGCCATTTTGAGTCCGCCATTTTGAGTCCGCCATTTTGTATTTTGAAAATCCAATTTCAGATTCGGAATCAGCGACCCCAAGAACATAAGATAACATACTAAAAGTTTTAAATCTATTGATAATTTGGGAATTATTAATTTTTGCCACTTTTTTCCAATCCTGGCCCACTGTGCACCGGCACAATCACCAGACCTTAACGTCATAGAAAACCTGTGGTCTATTTTAGATACGAATATCCGCAAAAGGCAGATATCGAACAAAAATGATCTTAAAGTTGCCTTGATGGAGGAGTGGGCCAAAATACCTCCTGAAACCACCAAAAAGCTAGTGGAGTCTATGCAAAAACGCCTTAAAATGGTCATAGACCAGAAGGGGGGCCATACAAAATATTAAAATATTTATAACCTTTCGTTATTTTTTTAGTTTTAATTATTTTAAGAAATGGGTCAAATAAGCTGTGACATAGAAAACTGCAGTATTTTTCTTTTTAGTTGAAAAATTATACAAATTATTATTTTGTTATTTTAATAAAATTTAAGTTCTTGGTTATTCCTATAATACCCACCGAAAAATCTGCATTTTTATTTTTTTAATATCTGCTTTAGTTAAAAAGTTATTCTCACTTAAATTTGAATATACAAGGTGGGTCAAATAAGCTGTGAGCCACTGTAAATAAACACTATCTGGAGGA